AGGCAAGGTAGAAGGGGTCAATGGGGAAGAAAAGAGGACACCTGTAATACTTTCAACAATAAAGATAAATTTTTTAAAAAGGTTATGGTATCTTGAAGGACAAATGAGGCAAGAACATTTTCTGGAATGTGTGATGATAAAGTGATTCATTTGGCAGTGGCAAAACAAGGCCACCTCAGGTGCTATTAACAATTCATGCATTTCAACAATTTCCTGAGGCAATTTGATAAATGACTCAGGATAAATGCAGATCACCAGCAGGTTATACTCAGAACATTTTCCCTCTGGCTGGACTGAGCGAGCACTCCTCCAAGAATGTATTTAATGAGGCACTGCACTAATCAGCATTCCTGGGCTCTGTAATGTCTCCCTGAGTACTGGAGCTAATTCCCTAGTAAATGAGTTTTCTCAAGTGTTCCCTACCTCTACACAGGGCACAGTAAGACGAATCACATATCTTTAGCTGTTTGCCTCAATTACCAAATATTATCGATGAAATAAAGCTACTTCAAGTGTGACTTAGCAATAACATAGCAAAAGGACAAATCAGAACATAATTTTCAGTAGAATCATAGCTGGCAGGTTAAAGTCAGATATCTGTATCAAGAATAAAAAAAAACAGGGGCATAATACTTTACAAATCTTGTCATATATACTTAGTTTATTAGAGCCTCACAACAAACGTATAAGGTGTTATTATCACCTGCCTATCTTACAGATGAGAAAACTGTGCTTAAAGATTTCATTGAGTTATCTAAGGTCACTGGTGAGTAGTTGTTCATCAAATATAATTCATGTCCTCAGTTTTCCAACAGCAGTACATTTTGGAGGTGGTATGTCAGTTGGACAGCTTAACATTACACAACCGGATGGTGCCTTGGGAAGAATCTCACCCAGGCGTGGTTCAGTTAACCAAGGAACTGGAGAGGTGTGCAGACAGGCTCCAAGAGGAGAATGCATTTCTATCACCACTCCACTAGGTGGCAGTGAAGGCCACCACTAGAGACTAGTGGCTGTCACTAGGCACTTGAAGTGGTCAAAGGAAAGCAGCAAAGCAATGCTATTCTTTCAGTGTTAGAAAAGGGTGCGTGTGTGTGCCCACACGCGTGTGTGCATATGTGCGTTCACAGGGCAGAGGAACAGAAAACTGAATGGAACTGTTACTGCACTCTGTGCAGTGTCCAATACCACCGAGTGAAAGAAGGACCTGGGTATTTGGCACTTCTCTATATACCGTGTTCTCCCAGCCTGTGCCTGCAATCCCACCCTGGATGCCGGATGTCCAGTTAGGTATTACATGATGTCCAAGGTTACCACTGTCATTCAGTATAAAAGTGGGTGTTCCCTGAAGAGGAAGAGTGAATTTGGTACATTAACGATTACGGCTGTCTTTCTCCTCAAGTGTATTCTACCTATGAGCTAGCAGACAAGAGCAACTTGCAGTGTCATATAGATAAAGAAACTCAATAGTTGAAGAATTCAAGAAACTTCGGGAAGCATTGCTAGAGGTTAGTTGCAAATTTTGGTACTGGATAAACAACGAGAGTTTGCAGAGCATTCCATATCAGAAAATATATGTGGCTGGAAATGAAGAGTTGGAAACTGTGTTTTCCACTGAATGAGGTTTAGCTGTCATCCTAAATCTTCTGACTGGGTGCAAAAAACGATCCATTTGTCTATCTTTACCAACTCTGGGGAGACCCCCAACCCCATTTCTAAAACCAAAGTTCCCATCAGTTTGAAGAGCGTTCCCCAGGAGGCTCCTTCTCCATTGGAGGCAGCTGCTTTTCTTCTGGCACTGAGGGTAGGTCAGGCGCTTTCTGCCCACACCTTGCGACAGTGAAGCGACTCATGTGAAGAGCTTCCTCATACCCTGGGAGGGTGTCCACGGAGGAGGGCAGCTGGGCCAGGGAGCCGTGGGAGTGGGCCACCGCCAGGATCCTCCGAGCCGCGGGGCCAAACACTGACTGCAGGGCTGGCGAGGGGAGGGGGGAGGGAGAGCTCAAGTAAAGGTGACATCCTCAGAAATCAGACTTACAACACACTGAATTTCCTTCTACTTTTAACAAGTGCCCAAACTCACTGTCAACTCTGGGCCACAAGTGTTATGAAAACCCTGTGAAGCTTGTTGGGAAACCGACTTCACTTTCTGCTAGGAGACCCTGTCCTCTCTGGTGTCCTCGAATGATCTCAGCTGGGCTCCCATGTCTCACAACCGCTGGCAGCTTTAGAGCCCTTTGGACCAGCCCACTGATGGTGCAGGCTCCTTAGAAACATATATTTCTGCCTTACTTATCTTTTCCCAAAATGATTGTGAGAAGAGGGAGGCGGGAAAGGTGGGCAACAACACACCCCGCTGTTCTCTTTGCAAAATAAACACCTCAGCGTTTTGCCACCTGCCCTTCTGCCTGGCATTCACTCTCCGATTTTAGTTGAGAATATAACATAAAGAAGAGAACCGAAGGAAATAAAGTGTCTTTTAGGATCATCAAAAGATGTTGGGGCTCATACTTCAGCGTATCAAGACTTGGAGAATAAAGAGCTGAAAGTACACATGACAAATTTCTCTAAATATGTAAAATTATAGATAGAAAATGTGGGTTTTTTTTTACAAAATCCAGGACGTTTTTGAAAAAGGGATATGCTTAAAGCTTAAACTAATTTTATTCAAAATAACTATTTATACGGGCCATTGGGGAGAAAAAGGGACATCTGTAATATTTTAAACAAAAATAAAATAAAATAAAATAACTATTTTTGAACCGGGTAATTCTTCTTCCAATGCATTTCCAGCACTGTCCCCAGCACCCCCTTTTTCCT